TCTTTGTCGCTACCGTGAAACTCCAGCAGGCAACGGGGAAATAATGCTTCCTGTTTCCGGTCTTCCTTATGACGCTTGCGGCTCCGCTGTGAGTTACGTCTCGCAGCTCCCCTTTAGCTTCCTTGACCTCGTTACGTCTTGCTGCTTGAATACTCGACCGAGACTCGGCTGCGCCTGAGCCTCGGAACATAATCATTCTTTGTTACATTATCCGCCTTGTGTTGCCGAGCGATGTAATCGTGAAGAGTTACGAGACGCCGACAGATTTGCGGGTCATAAAAATTTCTGGCATTGAACTACGAATCTTTTCTTGTTCTAAAATTAGTAGATAAAAAAGGAGTAGAGTGACCTCTAAAAAACGAAATCATAATGTAAAAGGGAAAAAGGCTTACTTTATTTAACGATTTTATTATATTAATAGAAATGAAATGTTAACATCTAGACATTTATGATGGGTTTGAATACCGTGATGAAAAACATTGCAGATTATTTAATGAAAGGCTTCGATCTGTTTGATGTAAAACCAGCTGCCTCGTTATTCCATTTACATCACAACCCGGAAATAAAGAGATTAAATTCTCGATGCCGATAGCGAGACGAGAGTGAGACATAAAACACGATTCTCCAGGGGGTTAAAGGCGGAGCGTTTTAAATCGGCTTAACGGGTCAGTGAAGGCGGAAAGTACGATCCGGGTAAACGAGGTCAAGGGATGAATCGGAAGAAAAAAGGGATCGCTGGCGAGTCGAGAGTGTATTTGTTCGAGGTATTTAATTCTGAAATAAATCTTCGTTTTTCTCTCGTCCACCTTCTCCTCTTTTTTTTTACTTTCGAGGGAGAAGGGCAGTAATTCGCGAAGGAATGGCTAACTATGTCGGGCGTCATAATTCCACTCGAGATGGCGAGAGTTGGCGTATCCTGGAATTTCGCAGACCCTCTCCCGTAAACGGAATCGGAAGTTATCGCGATAATACGCGTACGTTGCGTCATAATCGTAAACCTGGAGCGAGTTGAACCACGCCCATAAAATTTTTATCGGTTAGCGCGGAATGAGGTAGCTGTATATTTTTCGTTTGTTTCCATAAATGTTATCAAAATGTACAAAACGTGAGAGCATGATCTTATTTCTACAGCATTTGTCAGTCGAATATCAATTTTTTAATTCTAACTTTTTCATTAAAAAGTTGAATGATATAATATACGATGTTTAGCTGTTATATTTACTCTCTGATTACACTAACAAAATTCGGGATTCGGGAGAAACGAGCGAAACGATTTAGATCAAGTTTCGAACTAATCGCACCGATTGAGACAAGTTCGCGACGTCGTGAACGATTTCGTTATATTAGTCTTGCTGGAGGCTAAAGCGAGAGGTAGAGACGCGCTTGCGGTGTCGTGGCCGTCGTTTAAGCCGCGGCTTAACTCGGCTTAAGGCATTACTCTCCGTCTCTCTCTCCTTTTGCTCGGGCCTCGGCTCTCCTCTCCGTACCTACTTCCGCCTCGTTCCGCCCTGCTGCGCGGCTTTTAATCGAGCGCCAGCGGATTATCTCGACATCGAATCTACGGTCAACCTGCAAACCACCGGCAAACTCCGGACCTTTGTGCGTCATTCTCTGTGCCCGCGCGACTCAGGTGCCCCGTTTCACGAACTCTCGCAATCCGGGCGAGCGCGGATCCGCTTCCTCCCTTTGCCGTTGAGGCCAATCGACGAACGTAGTAATGACTGATAAATCCGCGCGAACGTGATATCTTGACGTGATAAAAACTTAGGAATTATTGAAGGAAAAGATCAGATAGCTCGTTGTCACAATATGTCATATGTGACAACACATGCTTAATATATCATTCTTGTACCTAATTAGCCTCCAACTTGGATCTTATGATACAGAGACAGATAATTCTGTTTGTACAATAGTAATATTAATCATATAGATACCGTAATTAGCATGCATTCGTAATCAATTGTAATATCATTTAAATTAATTATCATCGTATATTTAACATGCGTGCTCATGAACGGTGAATGTACGTTCATTATCGAGAATCACGCGTTAGGTCAACCATAAATGATATTCCCGTAGGAACATTTTAAGCGCGGGATCGCGGATATCGCTGATGATCGATCATTTCCCGCCGCTGGCCGTGATATTTACATAGGCTGCTTTACCGCGCGCGCGCGCGCCACATAATTTCGCCGGTCTCGCGTCGTCGTTGGGGAGAAAAAGAGAGAAAAAGATCACGGGCGCCATTTGTCGCGGATCTTATCGGACCGGTGGCGGCGGGCGGACTCTTCATTTTAAAGCGACTCGAGCGTAAATGCGGCCTCGGAACCGCTCCGGTCGAACCCCCGAAACGCGCGCGCGTCGGAGCAACTGCTTTAGCGCCGGATATTTATTACCCGACGGTGTAGCCCCTTATCGAGTGGCCTCGCCATGCTTGAAATCGTGAGAATTCCAGCCAAACTGCCCCTCCGCCGCCCACATACATACAAACACACGGCTGGTTCTCCTCTTCATCTTTGCACGTGTAAGCGCGCACGAGCGGGATTACTTACGAGTGTGTGCCCAGTAACGGGACAGAATGTAATGGAGAACGGAACGGAATGAAACGAGACGGAGGGACGGGACGGGACGGGACGGGAGGTGGGCGAGGGGGACCTTTGACTGGCGCGCCAAGGGGACCGGACCAGCACAGTCCCTCAGGTTGCTCGGCAAGGGTGCGCAATATTGATTCCCACCTAACATTTACACCAAGCGTGGAAGCTTGGTGTTACGTGCTTCGCGACACTATAGTCAATGGGCATGATTCCGGCGCGCCTAGGAAGTCCCGCTTACTTTCCCCAGACACCCGCGATAGTGTCCCGCGAGGATGATTAATTCGACTTGTTTTTAGTACTAGCTGTATTATATTGCAAGAATTATATAACACGTGTTTGTCGTGAAGCGGCAAAATACGCGCAATATTATCCTGATCCTGTAAAGGGATACTTACGAATGATAATTAAATTAACTATAAATTATCTATATTATATGTATAATATGACAATGAAAATATATAAATGCTCATTGTGCGTTTGATACGAAAAAAAAAATGTAAAGTTGAATTATACGAAAGTGCATGTCGCAATATTGCGATGCGATACGTAAAGACATATAAAAAGTGAAAAGATAAACTGCACTAACAGTAAAGTTGTTTATATCACCAAAAAAATGTTACAATTTACCTTTCTCATGTGTTTGTAATTTCTTGAAACTTGGATGATTCTTTAATTTTTTTTATCAGCCAACGATTTAATGATAACAATTGTTCGAGCGAGATTGTGCGTCGGCTTCGAGTGTCATGGTTAAACGATACTCGAGTGGAACCCGATCTCGCATCGATTATTCGCGATTATTCGTGCTTCGCTGTCTCGTCCCGTCGCCGGTTATTTCGAGCGCCGGTGGTGGAAGTTACGGTAGTGTTGGTGCGTGTCCCAGTACGTACGGCTTCCCGCGTTATATACGTTTACAGCTTTCCGATATCTAACTTCTGCGCCCCCTTTTTCCACGTCTCAATGAGCCACGACGCGAACGAGCCCGTGTACACCGACACCGACACACACGCCACCCCTCCCCTTTCCCCTCTCTCTCTCTCTCTCTCTCTCTCTCTCTCTTTCTCCCCCTACCGCCTCGGATCGATAGCGATCTATATTACAGGCGGTTCACTCCTCGAATGGAGGACGACGGGGGTCTTCGACGTCTCACCGATCGCTGAAGAGGCTATTTGCCTCGCGGTGATGGTGATGGTAATAACGGCGCGCAGTTTCGCGGCTCTATTATGATAACCGAAACTCTTGTCGGAACTAGTATTAAACGTGATACAGTCCACCCTCTCTCGAAAGTCGCCCCTCCCTCCCTCCCTCCCTCCCCCCTTCAAACAAAAAGCGATTATCGGTTACAGTAAAAACGGGAATGCGTTAAACGGCAAGACTTTTTTTACGAGCTTGATAATAGAGACTGTCCGATACGGCGAATTATTATGCATCATCACGGCCAGGAACAGTCAAACTTTATACGTGAAAAAATAGCTAATTTTGACCTTCTTGGCGACGTACGATTCGATACGTTATCGTCTCTCCTTTATCAATCTCTGAACTTGTCGATTTTCAAATTGGAGATGCGCGTGTTCACGTGTTATTGTTGAATAGTCCGATAAACCTCTCTTGCCAACTTCGCTACTCAGTAGGTTACCGCAAGATCTTATCTTTCACAATGCCAAGAGATTAATAATGCGAGATCGAAGTTGCCCGGTCGAGATCGTGGACGAAGAAGACGGGAGGAGAGTACGTGTCTGCCTCTTGTAACAGACAAATACAAGACAATGAAGATTAATGCCTCGGCCTCGTTCTCTTCTCCTGCCGACCCCCCGGCTTCGACGGCGTCGTGTGAACATTTCAGTAATCCCCAAGGAGGAAGTGTCCCTTCGGACTCGACTTTGGGGAACTCCGCGATCTCATAACCCTGACCCTAAATCTCCCGTGGTTGACGAATCTTCTCAATGATTTAACATGGCTTTGTCTCTGATCACCAATTCTGAATATATGATCTCTGAATAGAATGAATGCGATATTTATTGATGTTATAAAGCCCAATCGATCCTAATCAAAATGACTCCTCGTGAATAATTCTTAAATATGATCATAATTCCGCGTAAAAAATGACTTTGTTTCTGATCCATCAATTTTAACAATAATTTCGTATTTCAAAACAAAAAGATACCATTGATTTTATCTTATCAATCTGTAATTTAAAGTGATCAAAATAATTCATTATAGATAATTATCAGTATGTTGTTTTGCATGAAGACAAGACATGCCTCTAGAATTAATTACGTTAGATAAATTTTGACAGTTATAATCTTATTTAGCTTCTATCATGTATATAGTTATACAGATATTCAAGGTTACATCGCAATAATGCTAATTCGGCAGAATTTTCAATCCATAATTGCTTTATTATTGCAGATTAGCAGTTGGCGTGACATGGATGTGAGCTTCACGAACGTGTTAGAGGGGGCTCGCCAGTACTTCCAGGGACTGCCCGTACCGAGTACAGGTAGTGGCGCGGCCACGTCGGTGGATCACAATCTCCACTCGACATCCTCCACGAATCCCGCCTCGTCCACATCGGCGACGACGCACGATCACGATGCATCGTCGCAGCCGACTCAATCAACTCAGTCAATCTCGACTTCCGCCAATAGCAGCAGCAGTAATAGCAGTAGCAATGTCCAGGAGTCGAATCGTTACCCCGCCGACGTTAGACCTTCGTCGTCCGTGGAAAGTGGAAATGCGGCTGCCGGATCTAGTTTCTGGAACCCGCACGTGGAGCCATATGCGCCGCAACCGACCAGGGTCGAAGTTCCGGACACGAGGCCAGGCGACGAAGGCTCCGCCATGGAGCCCAGTTCCTCTTCTTCGGGCACTGTCACTTTAACCGAGATGCAACCCTCAAATTATCAATCCTCCTCCTCCTCCTCCTCTGTTGTCGCATCGTCGTCGAATTTCTCGCAGAGACCGCCGCCAACGTCATCGTCGTCATCGTCGTCGACCACCTCGTCCTCCAACGATCACAATCATCACCATCACCAACCTCATCTCTCGACGGCGAACTCGTCGTCGCATTTGCATCAGATGCAACCGCCCCAACCGCCACATTCCCCTGGACCGGTGTACCAACAACTTAATAATGTCAGCAGGACGTCCTTCAGTGCGGCGGAGATGCTCGCCTCTTCCTCATCGCACTCCGCTTCAACCTATCAGACCGCCAATAACGATAGACAATCGCAGCCGATCGTCGCGCAAAGGACTCAATACTACCCACGTTACCATCATCCAGATATCACGAAATGCGCACCGGCCCCGTATTCACAGAGTTCCATTTATCAGTCTGCCAGCGTAGCGCAGCCTGCGAGCATGGTTCAGCAACCGAGCACAAGACCGACGCCAGTAGAACAGAATAATGCGACATCGTCTAATATCGTCACTCAAGGACATTGTCCGCCGGAACAGCAACGAATATCTGGTACTTATGGCAGCAACGTGCCACTTGTTCAAAGTCCTCTCGGCGGAGCTATAGTGTACGGATCCAGCTCCTCCTCTTCATCCTCTCAAAGTTACCGTTCTACGAGTCAGTATCAGCAGCAAACCCATCGTCCGGCCGCTTCCGCTTCGAGCGTCAGCGATAGGTCGCATAGCTCGGACGGGTTGCATTCTTCCACCGCTGCCTGCTCTTCGTCGTCACAGGCGGTCAGTCCACGTCAGCCTGGACCAGGAAGCTCCTCCAATCACATTCCTTCGCAGTCGCAGAATCTTCCGGGTCACATTCCTTCACCGCATCTGCCGTCCGCTGCCACCTCGGTACACTATCATCAGCACCAGCAGCACCAGCAGCAGCAGCATCATCATCATCATCATCAACAACAATCATCGTCTTTACAACAGCAGCAGCAGCAGCAGCAGCAGCATCATCCTAGTCGTATAAATGCGTCGCCACATTCGCACGGTTCCTCGTATGGAGGTCGTATAATGTCGCTGCCACCGCACGGCGTCCCATCGTCATCGTCCTCCGTCATGGCGGCGAACCATTCGCAGCAGCAACAGATGCCACCACCTCCAAGTGGATATCACGTAGGAACGACGCCGTCGCCGCATCACGAGCCGTCGCCGCGTCACGCCACTCCGTCGCCGCATCATGCGACTCCATCGCCGCAGCGGCAGTCGCCTCACGTGTCCAGCCTGCACGCATCCCCATCTCCTCATCATACTCCCTCGCCGCACAACAGCTTCCAGCCACATTCGCCAACCTATCCACCGCCGCCTCCGCCGCCGCCGCAACAACAGCAGCAGCAGCAGCAGCAGCAACAGCAGCAGCAGCAGCCGTCGGCTTCGTCAAGGTCGACACCACATTCGTACAATTTGTCATCGGTCACCTCGCAGCATTATCAAACGAATTACGTGGCGGCGGTTCGTGACGCGGCGATGGGGTTGCCTTACGCACCGCCGCCACCGACCCAGTCTTCGTACCATTCCTTCCAGAAGAACCCGCAACCGGAGTCTCAGGGCAGTAGCTATTACTCCCAGCCAAACCGGTCTCACGGTCAGTCTTACGGTATGCTGGTACCGCCGCAGACGGTATACTCTAACACTCCCGGTAGCAATAGTCTAGGTACCTACCAGCAAAATGCCAGTAAGCACGCGACGTATAACGGTGCGGATGCTACGAAGAGAGGCGCGATTGACATTACGACGACACCTTACGGTACGCATCGATTGCCCGCGCAGAGGAGCACTAATACGCATAATCTGCCGCCTATCGCCGCGCTTTCGTCCTATCATTCCAACAGACGTGAACCGTTGGGAAAATCGGCGCAAACGATGGCACGACAACGAATGCATCTGACAAACGCAACCAACAAAATCCCGTCCGTCGTGATGCCACCCTCATCTATAGCGATGCCTCCTCAAAGGGTTGCCGAATATTCAATGACTCCGGTCTCGGCTATGAACCACTCGATACCGGTGAACGGTAGGACAACCACTGTGACAAACATGACGTACGGTTCGCGATACAGCGGCCAACAAGGCTATCCATCGTCATCGTATGCCACCACGATGGCGCCCAGTCATCATAGCAACAACTCCACTAGCAGCACCACAGTGACCACTATTAGTCACACTGGTTCAGGTGGCGCGAGGTCTTCCGTTTCAACGGTCCACGCGTATCAGTCTTCCGACGAGCCGGATCGGTCAGCGGGATCGTCGTCCTATCATCATCAGCCACCGACACGAATAACGACCGAGGGCTATGCCTACAAAGAATATCCTTACCAGAACCCAACGACATCCGGTAGTCAAGCGACCTCGGTCGCCACTATAGCAAGTTCTCCATCGCCGAGCAACGCAGTTCGAAAGAGGGAATCTCCTCTGGACTTGTCTGTGAAAACAGTTAAGACGTCGGCCGATTCTACGGCGCAGGATGATCTTGAAACTATCAACACCGACAAGCATGTTAGTAGCTCAAGTTTGAGTTCATCTAGGAACAACATGAATAGGCCGATGCCACCTCCGGCTGTCGTGCATCAATCGGCAGCGGTACAACCATCATACCCGTCATCGTATGATCATAGGCCTTCGAGTAATAGTTCAAGAAATTCCATGCCCGTAACCTGCATCCGGGCATCGACGCCTCAAACGGTGTGCGCGCCCAAAGTCGACTTTCTACCAGACTTTACCTCGACGCCGCTACGTCATCAGTCGCACCACGAGAATCCTCTTCGCAGAAGCACTACGCAGCAGCTTTACGTTCCATCTGCCCAGCCTCCCTCGTCCCATCACACGAACACCTCTCCATTGCCTCATATGTCCACGTTCAAGAAGCGTCCACTGCCCACGTCGCCATTGTATGACGGCCTGACGATACCACCGCCACCTTCATCGTCCTCGTCGTCGTCGTCGACGTCTTCATCTTACCTCCAGACAAATGATTCTGTGTCCTCGAGGTTCTCCAAGTATCACTCGATGATGGATCCATCTTCGCGGCTTGGTCAGCCTACACTGCCCACACAAGATTACCCGCCCGACTCCAGCAAGCACTACTTAGGGGACAGTAGAGTCAAATTTGATCAGCAATTCTCTCAGCGTGAACGGCCATTTAAAAGAGCCGGAGAGTCGATTTATGGCATAGTCCCTAACAAGCAGGCTAGAGTCGCTTGGCGAGTACCGAGTACTGAAAAACAAATTGTTGAGCCAAAGCTGCCGACCGCGGATGCGCTCAACGAACATCATAAACGACAAGAAATGAATTTGTCGGTTCCTCTGCCGAATGGAGCTCTTACGACATCCAGCACCTACGATCAGAGAACCGACAACAGCGGTTACTCGGCAGAGTCTAGATATCAGTCGGTATACTGTGATAAAAGGACCTATCCGGAGTCTAAAGTCATACGCAGTTCGCCGTCGTCGTATAATCATCCGGTGATCACGAAATCCGCGAGTGTGCACCCATTACCGCAACAACTGAGCAGTGCGCAACTGACCTATCCGAATTATCGCCAGCCAGTTCCGAAGACGACGTGTCTCCCGAGTGGGGTATCTGGCGGTCAGCCGATGGATCAACCTAGCAACACTGGTGCCGACAAGAGGGTGCTCAGCTTGCTGAGGAATAGCTTGGAGAATAAACAACAAAGGGATGAACAGCTCAATAGTCAGCAGCCTATCTTAGTCAATCACAATCAACAGAGCTACCAGAATAAGGTGAGAAATTGCAGATTTTAGATATTTCTGCCGAGACTTTTTTTGTTACTGATAATTTATCATCGATCTTTGTGCACAGAGTCAAAATCCCTCATAGTGTGAATTGTATCTAAAAAAGAAAAGATACGGCAGTTTAATCCACTTGATTATTTACATCAGACCAATTCATTTCTTGCCATTTCTGTCTTTGTCTGATCTCCAGACGCTCGACGTCTATTTGACGTTTCTGATAATTTCTGTGAAATTCCCTCAGGTCGTCGCGCCAGTCGAGCCTAAGAGCATCGGCAGGCACAATCTGTCACCCTTCGCGGCGGCGAGTTTGTTTGAGCGTAACAGCAACACGCCGCCGCATTACAAGTTCCACGTTCCGCGAGCAGTAGACTCGATCACTCAGGAGGTGCCACGTAGCATGTATGCCTCGAGAGTGAACGCATCTGCCACGCTACCCGGCAAGGAAGCTTCCCTCACGGGACCACGTGGCGCCGAGAACCAAATCCACCGTGACAAGGACGACGGTCTTGCCGCTATCTTAGCTGCGAAGATCAGGACGAAGGCGGAATTGAAACAAGTGCGTGATTGTCTACCTAACTTTTGATTTACATTGATCATGCCGATCTCACAATTTATTTTCATTTTTATTTAGGTCGGAACCGGCCAATTTGCAACGAAAGCATCTTCCGTACTTCCTCAGGACGTGTCATCAACGCCGAGAGGTAATAACTTGCGTAAAAGATACTAATAGCTTTAGCGATTATTAGTAGATATTATTAATGATAATTTTACGTCGATACCGACCCCTGTTCGTCCCGATTCGATCATAGTTTCACATAATAATTGTACTGTTTATTCAATTACGTCAATCATATTGCGTGTAAATATTATCTTTTGAGATCTGCATATAATGTTTCTATTATGCATACAGAGATCGATAGTGCAGCCTCGACGTCGACGCCGCAGTCTGGCTCGTCGGCAGGTAGCCCGCCGAAATTAACGCGCGAAAAGACGGTCTGTTTGCCGCCTAGAAGACGTTTGTTTTCGAGAACCGAGGAGGAGAACATGCCAGTAGCGGCGACCGTGCCAGTTGCCGCCACGGTCGCGTCTACGGTCCCAGCCAGGACGAGCGGAGGAGCCAGGAGCTCCTCCGAAACATCGGTCTTTGACTTCCGGGAGAGCGATTCCGAAGGCGAGATGCCAGTTCTCGAGCGACAAACCTTGGAGGAGATGAGAAGAGACAGGAAACAATTGTCCAAAGTACAACCCCCGATACCTCTCAACGATGCTGTATGTATGAATATGGCGTCCTCGACAGATCTCGTGAAGATAGAGTTAAAGGTAACAGGAATGGATAAAAAGAAATTTAAAATGAAGAATATAAACGAATTATTTAATTTATGTGAGATACAAAGATTACAAACGGAGATTTTTAGTTAACGATAATTGATTTCATTTGTATCAATATCATCAACCGTTCTTTCTCTTCCATGAATAAGTTATTTTAATGCTATTTAAAAATGAGAGCGCGATAAAACAGATATATACATATTTATAAAATATATATTTATAAAATCTATATATTCATTACTTATATTAAGATACATGTTAAAATTTAAATGATCATTTGTTTATTTAAGAATGAAACAAAAATACTTTATATTTTTATTAAACTTTTTTACTTTTAACATTACTTTTTAATATGTATATAAAGATCTTACTCACACACACACACACACACACACACACACACACACACACACACACACACACACACACACACACACACACACACACACACACACACACACACACACACACACACACACACACACACACACACACACACACACACACGCACGCGCGCGCGCGCGCGCAAATATATGTACGTTATATTGAAACAAATAAAACAAATAGATATTTATAATTTATAATACAATACGCATACGATTTCTGCTACACATCTTTTGTATTTATTACTATATAATATTATAAACTATGTTTTTAAATTCTTTCTCTCTACCTTTAAACGTTCTTGTTACTACGGGTTTCTCGCAATATAGTTTTACTTTATGAGTGTAATCTTTGTTTGCAGGAGAACGACAAAATCAACGACATTGATCCATTTTGGAGTAACACCTGTGATAAGTTTATGGAGCAATTACGCACGGGCGATTCCGTGAAGAAACGAGGACGCAAGAAAAAAGTGGGCCTTATCGCAACATCAAAACTTGAAGACGCAGCGAACGATAGTGATAAAGAATCGGATACCAATGCATCGCATTCCCAAATTAAGCCCGAAGACATTAAAAAGGAGATAGATCCGTCTATTAATGATGATAAAAATTTGATTTTCAAGGACATTAAGATCAAGACGGAACCCGGACTGAGAAAAGAGGATGACAAACACTCGAGCGATGATTCAGACGAAGTGCCGTTAATTAAAAGAACAAGGCAGGAAACGAAGAAGGAAGATAGTGATTGTGATGAGGAAGTAATATGTCGAAAAAGACGGATTCGTCGCGGCGGCAGGATCAAAATTCAATCTTCTAGCGGTAGCGAATCCTCGAGCGAGGAGAGCGATGTCAGTACCGAATTCGGCCATGGTTCCACAGTGGCTGACAGACTTCGAGCTAGGAAACGGTCTAAGGCTAACGCGTCCGAAGGTATGAAGCTTCGTTCGAGGGACAGTACTCCTCACAAGGCGAAAACGGACAAGGAATCCAAATTGTCGCCTCCCAAAGGTGGAACATCCCAAAAAGCGAAACCGAAACCGTTGTTCGGTGACGGTAGTGATTTCAGGCCCGGTTGGGAAGAGGAGGTTTACGTGTACAAAAAATCTCTAAGAATGCCACCCAGATTAATAACAGTGTCAAAACCGTCGCGTTTCCACCGACTGTCCACGTCATTGCCAGATTTAGATCCTGGCTCGCCGGCATTGTCCGTCTCGATGGACAGTTCCGACGTGTGTCTTAGTCGTAATAAGAGAGACAGCGACATGGAGTCTAATTACAGTTTCAGCATCATGGGACTCGGCAGTAAAATTGACGACGAGGAGGCGACCTCATCGACAACAGTTTCTTGTCCCCCGAAAGCCATGATAAAACACTTCCGTTCGGAAAACAATTCTATTGTTGATGTTCTCGCGCAGAAGGTTGGAGGTGGTGGTAGTGGTGGTGGTGGTGGTCAGAAGGATTCAAGGAAGAAGCAAAATCTGAAAAGTAATAAGAGCAGTAACGTTAATAAAAGCAATAACGAACCGGAACTTTTACCAACACCGGGTCTCACACCGATTCCGTCGTCCGAGACATCGACAAAGAGCTCTAAAAACAAGATCGCGTCGAAGAATAATAGAAACCCGATTAAAGTTACCAACTCCGTCCTCCTCGGTTACTTCCGCAAAGAGACGGTCAATAATTTCCGCGACGCGTTCAAAAACAATCATACGTTGCCCAACGAATTCTCCACTCTGGTATTGAAGAGCAGAACGAGAACGGAGACGAAAGTGTTGAAGAAGGAGGCGACTATTCGCGAAGTTTTCGGCGAGGATAGGCCCGCGTCTGCTCCACCGATGCAGAATCACGACGACACGTCACAGGACGACGATTCGCAGAACGAAACGCCGGAGAATACGTTGGGCAAGGTACGAACGTTGAAGCAAAAAGTGGTGTCCCGTTTGAGGAACGCTGGTATACTACGAAGTCACAAGGCGATTATGAACTCAAAACGTCGTCTATTAACTGCCGAGAGGCGAAAGGGTCTTCTTAAGTCGCTTGCTGATAAGAAACTACATCGTATCAAGACTAAGATAGAGCGAGAAGAGACGAATGGCGCTAGAGAGGAGGAAAATAACGAGATGGAAGATGACAAGAATGATTTGGATCTTCGTAACAAAAAGAAGTTGAAGCTTCGACCTGGCCGACGAAAATTCCGTTCTGGATTCGATTACATTCGCAAGAAGAAGAAACCGCTAAAAAAAGACGAGGCATTACCGAAGGAAAGGAAGAGGGTATGTATACATTATACATTTCTATGTATATTTTTTTATTCAATTCGATTTCTTTAAAATTGTAACGTGCACGTTATTTTTTCAATATTACTTCGAAACGCGATATTCCACATCCGCGATATTGCATTACAGCAAAGTCAAGGTAACAAACCAAGTCCGGAGTGCGTAGCCGATATTCAGTCTGAGATCAGAACGTGGGTTATCAAGAAAGGCGTCGGGGAGACCATATTACACCGTGCTGCCCGTCTCGGTTACACGGTAAGATAACAATCACGTTGCTACGTCATGCAGCAAAATTAACCAACGACTCCCGCGAATTGCGATCTAATCTGCTTATATTCCGCCGCAGGACGTGACTGCTTATTGTCTGGAGAAACTCAATAACGCGCCGGGTCCCAAAGACAACGCGGGATATACACCGCTTCATGAGGCGTGTTCGAGAGGTCATCTGGAGATTGCAAAACTTTTGCTGGCTTACGGCGCGAATGTCAGCGAAAGCGCTAACGGTGGTATCAGGTAATACTTTTGTCAAATCTTTTGCGATAAATGTTAGATCGGCGAGTAACTTGATGAGTGTAGGCGGTTGTAAATCGTGATAAATTGATAAAGAGTGATATATATTCTCACATTATCAGGCCACTTCATGAAGCGGCGGAGAATGGTGCTACAGAGCTTGTGCGATTGTTGTTATCGTACGGTGCTGATCCATTGTTGGCTACTTATTCCGGACAAACGCCTTTGATGCTAGCTGTTGATACCGAAGCGCATTCCATTCTAGAACAGCACCTGGCTGACATCCAAGGTCGTACCACTGTACCATGGTCATTTGCCGGTCCATTTTCTATTTTAGGTACGTCAGCTGACATAAGTTCTTGTATAAAATTTTTAAAAATTTTGTGAATATTTTGTGTGTGTGTGTGTGTGTGTGCGCACGCGCGCGCGTATATGTATCCAGATGAATAATTTAATTTTCCGTGGACTTGTTTTTAGATCCAGAAGAGACGGGCTACAATCCGCTCGATGATGTTCCATTGGAGAATCCAGAGTCAGTTGAGCTGGATGATATCGAAATGGAAGTGAGCGACACGAATCTACCTGTTCTCTTCACCCTGAACAACGATCCCGACAAGTGGGTGCTGCTTCAAGATCTCATGGCGATTTTGAGGATAAAAAGTCGCGAAGCTCTTCTCCGCCAAGTCAATCCGAAAGCTCCCTCTGGACCGCCTGCAATCGCGCATCGTGATATCATGCGTGATATCAAGCTGGCAGATTTCCTGGAACAGTCACGTTGTTGTCACCTGTTGAGCGGTGGCGAAAGGATCAATATGCGCGGCTCCAAGGTGACTCTTATCAAATACAACGACAAGGTGAAGTCCCTGCTGAACGTGGAGAAAGTGCTGATCAGCGGTAGGTGACAAGAGGCGTCTCTGGGGCGATCATCTCCCCAGATATCGAAACCATCGACTTCGATTCCGGCCAAGGAACATCAGAAGAAAGCTGAAGGCAAAACTACGGTGAAACGCGAGCGGCAACAGGGAAGAAAGCGACAAGAAACTCGTAATAAAAATTCTGCGGACTGAGCGGTTCTCGGTAGTCAATGATTTATTAAGATATAATAAAATTGTAAAAATAATAGCGATTTAAGAGTTATCGCTTAAAAGTTAATGTTATAAGGCCAGATCGTTTTGATAGCCGTTTCATGATGTGTTAAGAAGAGTAAGGAAGACAGATTCTTGCTCCTTTAACGGAAAAAATCCTAAATGACTGATGCGAATCTGTTTGGAAAACTCGTCCCTGAAGATTAAGAAAGACTGATCGACACAATGAAGATCGGTGCTTTTGCGTGTGTCCAAAGACTGACTTCTCGATTTATCTTATGCTTCGGAAGGTAAATCAGACTAACCGATACACTGATAATTGATTTTCTCCTCTCGATCTCATAGTACAGAGCATAACGAAATGGAGTTTGATATTACAGTGATAAGAAATACGCACATAATCGGTTCCTTCATTCAAGCGATGAATTTGTCAATCGAAATAAAGAAAGTCGGTAATAAGCCGACATTCTGCCGGGAGCGTAACGCGCAATTAAACCTAACTTCGAAGCACAGCTGTGCAACTGTAGTTTTAGATAAAATTATCTACTATTTAATGCGCAGCTAAGAGTGGGGAAACAGCTACCTGTGACATTATATAGCAGTATTGAAACGGGATATATATATACGTAATATACCCATAGAACGAGAATATTTTATTAATTCTCTTAAGGACTGAGTAAATAATCAGAAGTTTGTTAACATAAAGTTTTTAGGCGAAATGAAAGGAAGGGGAAACACGCGTTGTTTAGGCGATTAAGGCGACGGGAAAACGAAATCTTTGACAGTAGGGGTTTCTCTGAATCGTCGAACCAAGTCTCGGAATAGTAATAATAAATATAACGCTAACGTAAATAGGGAGTAATAATTATATTAGGAATGCGAGAAAACGTAGCTGTCATACCAGATATATTTTTATCTCGTACGTGGCTTCAAGAAGTTTCTCTGTTTTTAATAGACTTCATTCCGAGATTTGTGGAATTAAAATGCGCGCCCGTGTGCGTTAATATCAATTTTTCTTTCTTTTTGAGCTACTACAGAACGCGTCGTTTGGTAAAAAAAGAATCGACATTAAGAGAGAGCGTAACATAATTGCTATCACGAATGATAATGTTACCACAGTTTAGTCCTTGTTTTTCCTTATGTTAGGGAAGAGTTGTACATTATGCCGTGCGAGTTATATTTATGAAATGTGTTAATCGATCATTGCAAATAAGGTGCTTGAAATTGAAAAGCTAGACGAGTTGAATTTCAATTCATCGAGTCCAGAAATAATATTTGATCCATTGAGGAGACACCGTTACACGTATAAAGGTGCATATCTGTTGTCTAGTTCTATTTTTAAATATTTCGCTGTTTTTAATATTCTAATGTACATATATTTGTACATTAGAATATTATTAATATTATAACTGTATATGTGTATTTGTATATGTGAGTACATTGTACATGTATACATGTACACACAGAGAAATCAACTTTTAATTTATACGAGAAGCTCTTCGTTTTTATACAGCTTCCGTTGTGTGTAGCAATTAATTTTAATTTGAATAAAAGATAGATTCAGCAGGTGTCAATGGCTCAATTCTTGTAATGTGGGAAGTGCAATTCACGAAATAATAACGTCTTTGTTTCGTTGATGATCTAAGTGTATGATTATTTCTAGGAGTGTAGAGAAGATAGGCAATTATTTCGAAGAATTAAAGCGGCCAAAAGAATGCCGTTTATAAACGCTCACTGTGCAATAATACATTATTACACTACGTTTTTTACACTTCATCTTCAAATTATTATTTCTGTTCTTGTGATCATGTCAGGACAATGTTAACGCGTCGTATCGACGATCGGATACTTGCTAAGAAAATTTCTGAAATTAAGAACTTTTCATAAAATACAAAAAGATGCAAATTAAGTAATAATAAAATATAGTAAAATCGAAGAAAGAGTCAAATTCAAAGAGAAAATATATTTAATAAAAAATTATAAATTCTCTATTGTAACTGATTCGATATGTGAAATTTTGGAATAAAGAAGAAATAAAATCAGCGAATTTCGGTCGTCAAAGCGATGTCGCGTTTAATCGAAGCAATTTAGGAACACAAATTTTATATAGGAAGGTATGAAGAATTATTTTAAATTTGGACAGAACCAATTCGGGAAGAGTGTGTATCGAATTGTACTTATCGTCTCGTTCCTGTATTGATGATTTTCGGACGAACGGAGATATTTAGCGTATGCGTAGAGATGTCATGAGATGAGAGAGAAAAAAAAAGAGACGCGCGGAATAGTTCGGTTTCGCTTAGGATGCTTAGGATGCCGTAATACGCGTTTACTTTGGCGCCATGTTGCAGCACAGAGATTTTCAATCGTTATAATCAGTCTCAGGGAAAAATCCACGTGTATTCTTGAAAATAACTTGACGGTGTGTACCGACTACAGATGCGTATGCCAATGCGTGTGTTCATGCGAGCGACGCGTATCAGTGCGTATGTGTGTACAGTAGCTAGTTGAAAAAAAGAAGAAAGGAAATCCCGTTACGGGGGATGATTGATTAATATCTAATTAATATTGAGTGATATTAATTAATGTTACTACGACGCGATATGTCGCGCAAGCACTCGGGCGGCTCCTTATAATTTTTATTTAGCTGACGATGTTGAGCGGATAGGGGCGCGGTTACGATTATACCGACGATTGTATATACTGACATATTTTCAGCAAGGAAGAAAAAAAAAACGAAATAAAGATAAAGGGGAGCGAAACGCGGAAGAGTTACTTTTCTGACGGAATAATAGGAAAACCGTGGTGTACGTACTGTATCTTTTATTCTTAAGTAGTTAAAGTGTAAGTAGATCGCGGTACTTGTTTATATTAGCGTATATACTATTTGTGTAATATAAAAGCATTAATCGACCTCGAGGTAGTCACGTTGTATAACATGAGATAAACTTAAGTATTCATATATATATATATATATATATATACACACATATGTCACGTTGTGACTACTAGAAATATTATTTACTATTACTATTACTACTATAGCTACTATCACTACCGCGACTATAGCTATTACTATCACTACTGCTGCTGCTGCTGCTGCTATTACTACTACTATTATTATCATCTACGACTACGCGCTTTTTTATTGTATCATATATACATAGTAGTTAAACGATGGATGTACATTTTCTTAGTCGTGTAACATTCACACACAATGCCTCTCCCTTCTATTGCCCCCCCCCCCCCTTGTATTTATATATTCAAAAAAAAACTTCTAAATGTGTTAATGCTGCTGCTTTAATGCGGATAAAGAAAAACAGAAGTTATATATAAATATATATATGAAAGATATGAACAAATATATAAATATAAATAAATATATATATATACAAATATATATTTTATTTCAGAGATTTAGTTCGAAACAAACGTTGAAGCTGATGAACAAATTAGAGTCTTACTGTGATTCGTGTAAAGAGGAAATCGTTATTATTGTCATTGCCGTAGTCGTTACAAGCGAGTCACGATCGACCCGACGAATAACTTTCTAAATGAAAAAATATTTGTGATTTTTTTTTCGCTAATAACAATAACGAGTTATCCAATCGATGTAATAAAAACAAGTATTTTTACTGAAACTCTTATTCCTATTCACTAACCCCAGTCATCTAGTCGCTAAAATATTAAATATAACAAGATTACTTCAATTTTTTAATATATTTTTTCAATTACGTTTCAACATTGCAAAGCTTATATTTTTACTTTTATGCATATTAATGACAGATGCAAAATTAGAAATGATAATTAAGTTTTAATTAAAATTAATTTTGAAGATATGGTACTAAGTATATTATTATTTATACAGGATATCTACAAAGTCTCCATCCTCTATATTTCAGATACGATTTAAAATTATGAAAAATGCGAAATTTAAAACTTTTAAAAAAGTAATAAAATAAAACTTTTAAAACGTTTAAAAGAGTCTTTCAAAATAATCGAACACGTATTACACGGTTTTTCATAATTTTGAACAGTTTTTGATAAGGGATAGGGAGACAGACTTTGTAGACACTCTGTATATAAATATGAAAGTAAATTACTATTTTAACGTCAGAATATTTGTTTATCGAATGTTGTCGTTAACGTTGTCATTATATATTAATATATATAATTTTAATATAATTTTGTCGTAATATCTTCTACGAAAGTAAGAAATAAAAAAGTGGGATAGGGAAGAGCACAGTCCACGGTAGTAAAATTGGTAAAACGTTTATTAACTATTTAAAAACGATGAAACAAGGTGAACATGAGATTGACAATTTAATAAGTAATATTATTAAATAGACTATAGAGGTGTATAATAGGTATCTGCGGTAATTATTCTCTTTTATATACGGTCTTTTACATCGAGACAGATATCTTTCAACTCGGCGAAGCCAGGCCTTCTGTCCTTCAGGCACAAGCCGAAGCTCGTCGCTTCGTACCTCGTTCTATCTCGTATGATAATCGCGCTTAATAATAATCTAGAACTCGCGGTAGGAAAAAAATAGCCCGAAAGCGTGTCCGCGCGTTATATTATCGTTATTCCCCGCGAGTGAATGTTACTACGAAATAAGGAAAAGGAAACGTTCGCGGCTCTATTCCAAGCGACAGAGTTGACCGTCGCGTGTCGCGCCCGCACATATTGGCTACATTCACCATCGCCATCATCGTTATCATCATCGTCGCCATTGTCTCTCGTGATCGCGACATATCTCACATATCCATATCACGACAACAATGCGGCTATATTACAATTAAATTACCGTAATGACACCCCGTGGTTTTGCAACAATTCGATTTCCCGCTCGTGTCCCATTGGGAGAATCAATTACCGTACCTTCTCGCGCATGATTAATGCCGCGGAAACGGAAGGAGCAAGCGGACAAAGCATCGGGCGTAGCGGTATGCGATCCGCGAACCCGGCGAACGAGTGAAGGCCAAGCGGCGATGGGATTTTTCTTTCCAGTTAGCAGCAAAATGCAGCGGTATGCCAGCAAATTCGAGCGTGATTTCAGAACGAATTCCTATCCATTGTGTCCTCTTTAAGTTCAGTTTCTGCCATTATGACTTATCAGCTATAAAATAACAATAGAAATGCGGCAGGAATGGAGCATAGCTTTGCCATCATTGTCATAATGGCAGAGGCTACTCGTTTTCTGATACATTTCTACTGATATATTAAAAAGATAGTAGACTATTGCTGGAGTTCTACTAACGTAATGCAAGCGCAGCTTGCAATACTCTTGGGCAGATTTGGCTATCTATATTGGATATTGGAGAGCCGCATTCTGGACGCGAGTTTATCAATGAAGAACCTTCGCTTAATTATTCGGCAAATTCAGTTCTCAGTATTCCCACAACGGAACCCGATCGGCCGCATTTGCGTCCTCTTTTCTTTTCAAAGCGTCACAATTTTGTCCGTTCGCGCCTTTCGCGATTCCTCCCCCCCCTCCCGCAGAATCATAAGTATACTCGTAAGTGATTTTTCTCTCTTTCTCCCCTTCAACCGGAACTGCTTGAAGACCACGTGCAAGCTAGACCTCACGATCAGCGGCGACTGCTGATCCGGTGCCAAGAACTATATCTTAAGATACGAAGGAGCAGCGTACACCTACGCTCGCGCCGAGACTTTCTACGGGAACGCGAATGATCGGCGTGAAAATACCTTATCTCGCCACACGACACAGAGTGACACCATGCAGCCGAGACGCGCGTGAAAGAAAAAAACCTTGTTCAGGCTTCTCTCTCTCTCCCTACATCTCTTCTTTGATCCTTCTTCATCCTACTATGCCCCTCCGTCTCGATACACGCGAGTATATAATATGTATTTACAATAATACCTACTATAATAATAATTTAGTAGTGATATTTAAATTACAATTGTGTTTTTTTGCTCTTCCTCTCGCTCTCTCTTTCTCTCCCCGCATCGCCCACTCCACAAATATAATGTTGCACATAACCCAGTTTACTGGCTTAATCATCTAGCTGTACAAAACATTATATATCGTTATGTATATCTAGCATCTAAAGATTTGTCCTGTGAGGTTTCTTTTCTCTTTTTTTCTGCTTTTTCTTTTTTTTTTTTACTGTTTCTTTTAATCCTGTGAGGTTCGTTTAACACATACACAACGTCGTGAGGGGCTACGGTTTTCTCTCCTATACCCGCGGTTCCCCCTTTTCCCGTCGAGGTCGTCGAATCCGCTCGACATTTCCCGACGCGCTAACTGCGCTTAAGTACATTAAAAAATACCGCGCCCGAGCATGACCGAAAAAGCGTTCGCATTTCGCAGCTGATAGGCTCGGTCGAGTTCGAGCGAACTCTTCCGAGTTGCCGGCCGACTCGATTCCGGCGCACGCCGATCTATAATCTTCTCGAGCAATTGTACATACAACACCTCTAAATTCTCTCGCGAGGTTAATTAATAAAATTAGGGACGATCACATACGAATAATCAACGATCATGCGATAAAAGTTTACGAATTTCTCTCTGTCGATTTTTTTTTATATATATCAGAAACATCGGTTGCGATAAAATTCAACATGACGAGCACGCGCGAGTGTGCTCAGCTCTCCTCGTTTCCCTCTCGACGATCTTCCATTAGATTTTGAACTCGGAGAAGAATAAATCCCGACTGACTTTATCAATTCTCCGCGGGGAAAAATGGTCGGTGATATCGTGTGTGCCCTATCATTTAAGTATTCTTTCGGCTTAAATTCTCTGCGGCGATTTTTACGTCGTGTTACGCGTCTTAAGTAGGGACTTTGTGCTACATGGATATGGGATACAGGAGGGAAAAAGGGATTAGAGGAAAGGGTGTTAGAGCGTTACTTAATCGTATTTATCGTGAATAATTAAGCTTGTCGCCTCGGTGGCAGGGTCCAGGCGTTGGGCCCGTGCTGAGCGTGGGGGGCAGGACGTCACAGCTGCTGATCCCTGCAGGGAACCCAGATGTTCGGTCCTGATTGCTCGGAGATGACCTCCTTCACTTTCACATAGATCTCCTCGGGAGTGTCTCCTTGAACGACGGCTGCGAACAAAGTACAGCGAGTTTTCGTGACGAGAATACTTAAATCGTATTAGGTCAAATATCGATTTTTTTAGATGATTTTTTCAAATTTTAAATAATTAAATTTGCACAAATTCAATACAATGAGTTGCATTATGTCGTTTAAAATTTTAGAATGTTATATGAGCATTTTTTATGAAAAATTAATAAATATTTTATTAATAAGTTTAACTGAATTTTATTTATTTATCAAATCAAAATCTAATAGAAAGTCTTTTAAACGTAAACGAGACGTACCAGTAAAGTATTCACCAAATTCTTGTTCCATCTTGAGTGCTCGCTCGTATGTCTTCTTCGCTTGCTCCTCGGTCATCCTCTTGTTCATCTCCCTGTAAAATTACGAGCGCCAGATTTAGCAAAACGGACAATGAAATCTTTTCATATTCAAAGCGACCGATGATTACTGAACTTACATGACAGACTCCACCGATTTCGGCTTGATAAAGATGGCAATGGGATAAAGTTGTGCTACTTGTAACCTCTTGATAGCATTCCCACTCACATCAAGAATACAGTGCTTGCCCTAAAAGCAACAATTACAAATATTTTTCAATATAATATCAATTTCAATTCAATATTATAATTAATCAATATAAATACAACGTAACACAAGCAAAGTCTGTTGAAAGATCGAGTGTGTGTTATTAAAAATTATACGTACCTTCTCAGCCACTTCTCGCACAGACGCAACGGATGTCCCGTAAAGATTGTCGTTATATTGTCCGGCCTCTATGAACAAATGATTCTGTATGTCCCTCTCCATTTGCTCCCTCGACGCCACGAAGTGGTAATCTCGTCCGTCCACTTCATACTCTCTTCTACTCCTAGTCGTGTCTGCAGGCAAATGCGCAAAAGATCGATAATACAGTGCCGTAAAAAAAGACTCTATTGTCGGTAATCGTATCAGATTATCGAGTAACTCACGTGGAACACAGCTGCCGAATTTATCAGGGAACTCGGAGATGAGATCGTCGTTGATGCGGTCCTTGAGGGGCCCGAGAACGATCACGGGACGCGTGTACTGTATCGTCAACTGCTGCACGGCCTCGTACGAGAGCACGTTCTCTTCGCTGCCTGCAATCGATTCAATCAAATGTACATGGACGACTCCAAGACGTTGCCCCCCTTCTCCCCGAAGACTCGAAAGGGGAGCTCGTCGTCGATCGATTACAAGCGATCATCGCAATCTCCTTCGAACCTTCGGGCGGCGCGCAAGTCCGCCCATTCAAGACAGCAGAAAAAAATATATTAAAAGCGACAACACTCTCATCCAAGAAGAAGACAAACACGAGACCCGAGCGGCCCTCCTTCCGATCCCGCTTCCGAAAGACAGAGGCTCTCTAGACGACGGACCCCGATGATGTCATTGATTAATTTGACACTTCCACGAAAACGGACGCGGGACAATGTTACACACAGAGCGATGTGCGTTCGTCGGGGCCACTTGAAACAGTCTCTGGCTGGTGACTCGACAGATCGATCATGTCCAGCGACGGTCCTTCAACTGTCTCAAGCGGACCCCGGCTCTTGGCTGATCCATTTGGCGTTTTCGGACAAGTACACATTTCTCTCGTTGGACGAGTCACGAGCATGCTCTCAGCGTTCGGGTGAAATCGAAAGCGGGAGGCAAGCTATATACTTTTTAATGACTAATAAATTTAAGCGATCCAGGGACGTCGGGGGGTGCACAATTGTGGCGTTAGTATGTATAGCGTCTATAAACCAATACTTGGCAAAGAGAAAGAGAGAGAGAGAGAGAGAGAGAGAGAGAGAGAGAAACAGAGAGATAGAGAAAGAGATAGAAGAAGTTGGGGGTCTCCATTTGTAATCAATACCGCGCGACGCTACACATGTTACAAATTCGATATTAATGCGGCCACGTCGCTTCTTCTCGGGTTTCAATCGCGATAATCGAATACGTGGTCCGGAAACTTTCGCGCGGGCGTAAGGAAGAGGAACTCGCCGTCGCGTTTCCGGCGCGACGAGAAGAAGCGACGAAAGCGATTTCTTCGTCTATTTGAGCGTCCTAATTGCGTTTTGCTGCTGTTAATGTCTACGGGCTCTACGATCAGAGGAGGAAGAAGTGGCGGGAGAGTGGCGGGAAAGAAAACGAGAAAACGGGTCGCGATAGCAGCACGTCGTGCGCGCCGTCTCAATTGTGCAGCGCGGGGCGCGTCTCGTCAGTAATTTAACGCGAGGAGAAGCCCGGAGGAAATTAACGGCTGTCGAAAGAGACAAGACGTTTTCTCGATTGGTGCCTTAAACCGGCGTATTGTACTCCGGTGATTGCTCTTCAATTTCAATCGCGACTTTTATCGTCGGAAAATAAGTTTGGTGAAAAGTTGTACGCGCGACGCGAACCGACGAACCAGTATTGCGCTAACTCGCGTCGCAAGTTAATGTAAAATCGATAATAGCGAAAACATGATGAGTATATCGAGGCCCATTGCCAAATTATCTATCCCGTGCAATCGCGGCAGCGCGTTTAAACGAATTTCGCGATCTTGGGCCCGTGTCCAAATATCGACGTAACAGCAAGGAAGCGTTTAATGGGAGATCGAAAGATCGACATCAAGGACGAGTTAGCACTGACGCAGGGATTGCAAACAATATTATTCAGTTATTACAACCTCACGAATATTCTCTTCGGGATAATCGCCCGTCGACAGGGTTACAAATCGTCTGCTGCGATCTGCTGTTAGTTTTTCCCTAGAGGAACAACTCGGCTTTCTGTGTGTGCGCGCACACCGCGCCCACACTACGGTTCACACATTTGCTTGTCGGCTACGACTTACTAAGCTGGTCATTGGGCTCGTCGCCCTCCTGTTCCAGATAAACTAACGTGAGTTCCTCCATATATGGCAGCTGAACGCGAAACAAAATTTCTCTACTCCCTGTAGCGCAAGACAAATCTTGAATGAATAAGAAAAGAGAGATAGATAAAGATAAACAAATTACAGAAGGGCAAATACGGTGATGAATGAGAGGCGAGTGACAAACGGCGGCGACGGAGGAATTAAGAGTATCGGACAATTGAGATCCTAAGATGAGACTCTAAAAGAGGCGCGTGAAATTTCGCGGACAGACAACGCGTATGCGACGAGTCGCCGTAAGCTCTCGGTAATCGGCGAGCGTTTTGAGCCCAACTCGAAATCACATTGATATATTCTCATAATGTAGTCCCTATTTCAGATATTATAGAATAATAAGTTTTGCTCTTATTGACGTATAGAGTATAGAGATATTGAAAAACAAAAAAAAACGTATGTTTTTTACATATTAAGATCACATTTCCTAATCATCTCTTTTTCAACCGTCCTATTGCATATTAATGTTCGCGCGAGTGCAGGTTACCTGTATTCTTCAGGTCTGAATAAATTGCTAATATATATTGCTTCAGCTATACGGACCTCATCATTATTAACTAATGAAGATTTCGAATTGGCCTTTTCATCTCAGTATGAATATGCATAGTGTACTGCCATTGGAACAAAACAATAGATATGCTATACTGCCCATGGCGACGTATAATGAAGGCCGACATCATATATATATTTGGCTGTTGAATTATTGCTGGTAAATGAATGCAAGCATGATCGATCATCTCTCGCAAGGATGAAATGGTGGACGAGCAGAGGGATGAGATTTCCGGTCAGAAACATGTTTCACGAGTACTATATAATTGTAAATTTCGAAGCCTTATTGTTGCACATCGAAATTTGAAGCCCGCTACGCGGAACTTATCCTCTCTAACTACGTGAACGTTAACATAATCGCACTTCTTTTACGTTGAACAATACTGCAGCAGGTAATTAGCGTTAACGTGATAATTAACACTAATGTAATTCTTGTACCGATATTAATTATATCAACCTATCCGAGCATGTGCGTTAATCGCGAAACAATATCATGACCGAAATTCATTATCCTGCATGGCTGACCCAGGCAATACGATCTCTTCGGCGTGAGGAAGAGTATATAGGAGAAATACTATATGTATATATATATAGAGAAAGAGAGAAAAAGGAGAAAGAAAAAGATAGATAGATAGATAGATAGATAGGTAGATAGATAAATAGATTGCTAGGTAGACAGAAACTGTGATAGAGATAGATAGCTAGATAGACAGATAGATAGATAGATAGATAGATAGATAAATAGAAATAAATAGATAAATAGGGAGAGAGTGGGAGGGAGGGAGGCTAAAGAAATAGCGAAATAGAAAGTGCGGGAGCGAAGAGAGAAGAGAGACATGATTACCTTCAGTGTTAGTGTCGTCCTGGGTGTAGCACAGCATGAATGCTAGAACATAACAAGTTGAATACATTTCAGTATACGTTGCGTACTAAGTAAGCGGCCGTTAATTTATCGCTAGAATTAATTACAAGCGCTATAGACTCTCGAGGACTCTCCTACTGAGCGCGATTCCGATATGCTACGCACGGGATGGATTCGATGGACCATGAAGATGCGAGTGTGTTTTACAGATTCGAGACACGACACGCGAATGGATTCGAATCGTCCGAATTATTCTCTTCCTCGAAGTCATGATTTAATCGTCATGATCGAATGTCTCGTGCATGGGGAATGCAACATCCCCTCGTGCAATGATCACGGAACGTATCGTACGTTTTTTTACCGCATGTTATTTGTGGAAGCATTACGTTAGAGATGTAATACAGCGTAGTTTGCATCATCAAAGTGTTTTTTTCTCTCACGACATCGATGAATAATCGTTAAAGTCCCGCTCGTTACGGAGACGCTCATGCTCGAGAAAAACATCGCGTCTGATGTAAATAAAAAAAAAACAATATCAGCTGTGTGTACAACTCAAGACTGTAACACTCTTCCTTTCGCCGTCAGCTAAGTGTTATAAGAAGCGTGTGTACCTTCCAGTTTACGAGGTCAGAGACCCGAATCGCGTGTTATGTCGCTCGAGGAGCGAGATCTCCTCTCGATCTAACACGTACAATGAGAATGCCGACGTACATGCATCTAACACTTTAAACATTTCTCTCTCGGTTTTACCGATCCCGAGGTTTTATCGCTGAATTTCGCATTTGATGATGGAGGATGATGTGCTTCGTGACGCGATCTTTGAGATGAACTGGCTGCGCTTCTATCGCGTCTATACTATCCTTTTTCGTGAAGAAAAGTAAAAAAAAAAAAAGAAAGAGTGAAAGAATGCGAACTCTGAGAGGAACATCGCTCTACCGTGCTGGACCGTTACTACGGACTACCTTGTGAACCTCTAATAGTGAAAAGCCGAAAGTTAGAAGCGGAGTCGAGAGCGTATAGATAAGAGCGTGTCGGTCGGGATGTTAGTTTCAGAGACTCTGCACGAGGCAGAAAAGTTCAAGGTGCAGGGTGCATGCGCAAGCGAGGTCGGAGGGCGCAAATAAAGCTGCTGCGGTTGCTGAATGATGACACAGTGGTTGCCCGCAAGCGATGTCGCGCGCGATGCGAACATTGCGAGATTCAATTTCGGCCAAAATCCGAATTCGATTCGAAGCAAGATAAATTACGTTTCGTTAAAATCAAATACTGTAAACCAACAATATCAATTCTTTTATTATAATAAAATAAGACATTTCCAACATATTATTAATTCTTAAATTCCGGCAATCATTATTCTACAATACAAATTAACGTTTCACTAGAAATAAAGAATCGAAAAAAAAGTTTTTTTTTTTTAAATTACACGTGAATTACATTCTTAAGTTTAATATATTGCTAAAATTTCGACTGAAATCACGTGTTTAATGTTTTGACATGGATTTTGAAGCTTGCGTCACTGCTGGCGTCATTGCATGAAAAATGGCGAAAGCATACATTTACAGAGCTTATTACATGTCTAATTAAGATACTTACGGGTGGGATCGTTCTCATTCTCGGGTGTGGTGGGCGTTCCTACACAAGCAGGCAAAACAAAACACATGTCACGTTTTCACATTGTAAAAAACACAAAAGCTCATTCGGGACTTGGGCGTGTCTGATCAAGGCTCATCGCACCAGAAATTGGGACTTTATCAATAGTCTTGCTTGCTCAAATAAAAATTATATTCTCGCTCTTTGCACGGAAAATCATGGAATGTTACGCATCAACTTTTGTTACAACTCTTCTTGTGGCTGCATATTTAAAAACCTTAACGTATTCACTTTTAAGACGATATTTGTGTAAGAAATTGTAAACGCATTAAATATTTAGGCAAACACTGGCGTAACATCGCGCGTGTAAAAAGTTGCTTTACTAATATAAACAACGAAGAAGTTTTTCTATTTTCACATTTTGAGCTATAAGTCGTTCTAATTTAAACTTTCCGAGCTTACTGCAGGACGGTGGAATTACGAATTATTAATAAAAATTGAACCCATCGATTGCAGAGGGACTGTGGCCCGAGGCTTGAGGGTGAGGCATAACTTCGTAAACTCAGCGGTTAAAAATCGCTCAGTATAAGTATAGGCGGATACATATGGCGAGAAAAAACACGTAAAACACAGTAAATATGGGCCAGAACATGCACAGAACGTGCAGGAGAGGGGGAGGGAATGACAATCACGTTCTAGACACTCACGTTCCTGATCGGAGCCATCTTCAGACTTGTCGTCTTTGCTCTTCATGAATGGGAACTTCCTGCTAAACGAGAAGTTCTTCTTCTTCCGGTCTAGAGTTGATTGCTGAAATCAACAAGTTTACTGCGATGCGATCGACAAATCACATACTTCGTAATTTTGTGCGACGACGAATCCATTCATAAGAAACAATTTTGTCAAATATTTATAATCTTTGAAGAACAAAGTATTAAAAAAACTCAGTTAAAATAACGTTTGTACAAAAATCTGAAAACATTAAATTATATGATAATTTTCATATAAAATACGAATTTTTAAGTTAAAATATTATATTTACACAAACTTCTAAACTAAATTTATTAACTACAATTCGCGATTTGTTGTCAACGTTGAAGAAATTGGATTCTTTTTAGAGAGGAAAATCAGCTGCAACGTTTGTCACGGAAACTAGCTCTTTGATCATATCAAATTTGCAAACTGAAACAGCCATGTGGCTATCGATTGTGACAAATATTTAATTAGACATTTCTCCTCGTTAGTGTTAATGAGAAATAGAACGAAACATTATCGGACGGACAAGTTTTTTTTATTACGCACGTTATTACGAATCATTTCATATCGCGAGAATATTGCGCAATCAAAGTATGCTGCAAAGAAACCCTATAAAAAATTTTCCAATTAATTTTAATAATAAAATGATTATCAATTTTTTGTATCGTTTTGCTCAGATTCTTTAATTTAGTATTTTATATCGAATATTCCTGAGATGAGAAAGTGATATCAAATTGACACATCAAAAAATATCGAGGATTAAAATAGCTTATTAAAGATAAAAACACATAATTAAAACGAGTTGCATTCGTACAAAAATCCGTAGTGGTTAAACGCTACATGGTAATTTTCGTATAAATACGAGTTGTCACTTGAATGTTTAACGAGAGAGCTATATTTATTATTTTGTATTAAATTTCGTGATTCGGCGACATTTTCGGAGAAATTAGTAGCTTGGAGAAATTCTCATCAGACTCACCTTATCAAGAATGACCGGCATGTGCCCCTGGAACTTGACGGAGCGGTCCCTGGCACGTTGCTTACGTTCCCATCGCCTGCGCGAGGGTATTATGCCCAGACCTTCTTCCTCGCCCTGTGGGGTGACTCTTCTCGCCTGCCACCATTCATCGTCGCTGGCGTTCGTCACGTGCAAGATCTCGCCGTAACGGAACGCCAGGCCGCGGCTCGGCAGACCGTCGTCCTTGTTGGGGTCGTAATCGAACAACGCTCTTTGGAGAGAAAATACCGTAATGTTTATCTTTTTATTTTACGCGAACAAAGCTACGTGTTAATTAACTCTACTTAAACGAGATCAGGACTCTGCGGGATAAATGATTGAAACGGCGAAAGATGATCGTGAAGATAATTTACCTCACGTAGAGTGATTTCTTCTGGGAGGTCCTCATGAGGGTGCCTGTCATCACATTCTGTTGCGAAATTTGTTGTTTAAGATCCTGGATCTTCGCCTCGAATCTGTTGTAGTCCTCCGGTTTGTATTGCACCACGATTGTCACTGTCTGACCAGTACCCTGAATACCGCGTGAATGAAAAGAAACCGTATCTATTATTTTCGATGAATCACAACTTGCAAAATATTAAAATCTCAAAATTATCGTTTACGCAATTGACATTCCTCGATATTTAATATTTTAATTCAAATTAACAAGATATTTCATATGAAATTTTGTTTAACGAATTATCTTTTGTCGAGACTAAAAGGGCTTCCTGAATTCTATGATGATTACACGCATCGTTTAATAATATATAAAGCAAAGTATCGAAGATACTTGATGGACTCTCACCTTAAGAGCCGCGGCGGCCTCCTCGTGGGTGGCTGTTCGGAGATTGATACCATTAACGCTCAATATCTGATCGCCTCTGCGTAATTCACCGCTAAGATCGGCCGGACCTCCGGCTAGAATGAACGAGATGAAGATGCCTTCGCCATCTTCACCGCCGACGATGTTGAAGCCCAGACCAGAGGAGCCTTTATTCAATACAACGGTACGAACCTCCCTGAAAAAATAAAAGAGACGGTCCACGTTTAGCATCAACAATTATTTTCAGAAATATGAAATTACTGCAATTATTACATTATTATTAACAATCGCATGATGCATTTCTATTAAAAAAATATATACTGAGGTAAAGCTAGGTTAATTCCTGCCGTAACCCGAGAACGCCGAGGAGAGAGATAAATTGATTTATAAATATTTATAAATCAGACGAGCGCGTGTCCTCAATTTAAGATTTACGCCCGGATACATTTCGCATGTCAATGCATCTGCATTTTAATCGTGTATCAAAATGCAAATTTCCATCACGATTCTTATAGGCGCGATTATCACGTTAATTAAGAAGACCGGTTGGGAAATTCGTGCCGTGAATTCATGCCACGCGGTTTTCGCGAGTCCGAAGTGTACTTCGCCATAACGAGACGCATAATGCGAGAAGACTCGCGCGAATGATGGCATCCTGAATACGCACTGAACTGCCTCGCTCCCGCGCAAAATATACAGCTTTAAACACGGTCGGACGAAGCACGAATTCCGTTGAAGAAATGTGGGAATTTCATTAAAATTATACGCTGGGGTTTCGACGCGCATTATATTCGGTGTTGCAAATTGCACCAAGGCACAATTAATCCCAAAATCACAACTTAAAATCGTGAAATTTTAACGAACCGCACAAATTTCCCGCGGAGAACGAAATTGTTGACCAATTTCTCAAATGTGGTTTATTATCCATTATAACGAAAATACGTCGCACGAATTAATCATCTGATACTGCTATATCTATTTCAAAAAGGAAAGATAAAATGTAGTCGCGAGGGTAATTTTTTTTTTTCGAAAAGTCCATTAAAACGATCTTCCACATTCAATTGCTTTCTGATGTCGTAAATGACAAACAGTCCAATAATAGCGATCGTATATGAATTCGTATAAACGGCACGAGAGCATGACGCAAAAGAGCGTTCGATCAATGAAACGCCCTACGTAAGCGCTTACGCATCGGGCGGCCGAGTCGGCGGAAAGCATTAAATCCATGTGCTTACGCCCTTACAACACACACATACATACGCAGGCATAAACAAACTGAAGAAATCAATTCGTGGAGGAGGTTTACTAACACACAGGCTAGAAAAAACGCCTCGGCCATTCTCGGCGTCTACTATACGCTCGACGATAAAATACGAGGATAACTTTTCGAGCGTAACGCGACGCCCGCGTTAATTCCTTCTTTTTTCGTCGTTTGAAAGCCTTTTACGGACATGCTTGCCGTTGATCGTGAAATGTACGTTTAATTTCGAGCGAAATTACACGAAGGTTGCACGTCATCATGTCGTCGGTGGACGGTTGTATGGTACATAACATGAAGATTTCCGTCAGCGACGTACACAACCTCAAGGCGCACAATCGCTCGACGACGGCGCGCGGCGACAGCTTTTGCTCGCTCGTGTTAACGAAGACCTCGGCTTAACGGTTGGCGGAGCTGCCGCCGGGGACATAAGTTTAAGTTCAAGTTACACGGCTGCCGGCTCGCGAGAGAGTCACGAGTGCATCCGGCTTGCTTCGCCCTTCGCTTATCTTTTAACGAATGCCAAGTCGCTCTCGTCGCACACGCGTGGCACTCGATACTCAGAATATATCTAGATTATTTATAAACTGTAACCGCGCGTTTCGCATAAATTAAACACATTTATATATAATCATTATTCAAATATTCATACACTTCTATTTTAATAGAATAATATTATTTTAATATGTTAATAAAATATTATTATTAATATTTGAAATACTAATAAAATATTATTTTGATCATTATATTATTACGTGTCATTAATATGTAATGAAAATAATGCTGTATCACTTTATTGTTAATTCTTAGTATTATTATATAGCGCGTGAAAAAGTGGCTCATGTTCTCAGCGTGAATACCAATGAGCCTTGCTATAGCAATAAAAAGAATAGGATCCTGCAAAAGTCTGACACATTTCAGGAAAATGTTCTGCGGCATTATCGTCCTTTTATTGTCGATAAATCGAACGAGCCAGTTTTCCATCGTTCCAGTTTTGATTTGCAATACGTTTCTTCGCTTCTATTGTAACATTAATAATAAAAGAATAACAATTATTAACAAATTATGCTTGTATCATTATCATTATAAAAATGTTGTTAAAGAAAATAAATTATCGGGATAATTTCATCTTTTAGGATAATCTTTTAAATAACAATGTCTTCACTTCACAGCAAACGTAACGTCTTTTACTTATTGTTAGTGACGTTTGAAATTTTCGTGTGCTATATATGTATAATTGCTAAATGATAACAAAACTTTATATACAGATTAGTTATTTATTTATTATATTTTTTTCGACAACATCCAATATAAGCAGAAAATAAAAGAAAACAGTTTATAAAGAATAAAAGAAAATATCTTATAAAAAAAGTCCGATAAAAGTTTCTGTATATCGTAAGAGAAATAACATGTATCTTCTTATCTATAATTTATTGTCGCTTGGTGATTAATAGAGCTGTCGAATCCAAAGAGTTTGGTCGAATCGATCTATCCGCCACATTCCCGAGATCCTCCGTCGCCGATTGGCTCGCGCTAAACGGGGATTTACGTGTCTCTGGCGTGGTGGAGGAGAGTGCGCGCCGGATGCGCGTAGATGTCCGCAGCATACGTTTCCGCCAGTCGGACACGCGCGTCGACGTTGACGCGCGTGTCACCAACTAACCGGTCATGTTCGCGGCACGGATCGCATTATCGTGTGCTCTCGATTCGAGGCTTTAATTACGCGTGCCGACCCCCTTTCGCGAGACGGGCGCAGGAAACGGATTTTCCAGTATCGCGATGTTGCGCAATATACCTAAAAGGGACATCCCCCGCGCTCTTGAATAACTTTACGACGATAAAGCACGGTAATGCGACAAGTTGAGCATTTCTGCAATTTAGGAATCTGATTTGTCTTTCAGCAAAATAATTTTAATATATCATACACGCGAGGACGATTTGAAATCTAACATCATCAAGTGTATACTTCCTCTTTAAATCTAGGGTAGATATGTCATAATACTACGTAATACTTATACGAGTGGAAATTAATAATTTAAATAGAAATGTACATGTACGTCAAGATGTAATTAGCTAATAGAACTCATAAAAATAAACAAAAGCCTTGAGAATAAAGCATGAGAATAATCCGCTGAACAAATCTTTTTTGAAAAACATTCAACCTTTTATTTTATAAGTCCTTTGTACGATTTATACATATCATAGAATTACAAAGCTAACTAGAAATATAACTAGAAAACAACATTATAAGTGACTCCGGATTGAATGCATTTAAAGCGGATGTTCAAATCGGCATGGCTATTTGATATACAGTTCAGCAAATCTCATACGCGTGTGAATATACATATTCAAAGATTAATAAAGATCAATATCGAAAATGTAAACGAAACTAATACATATTAAATCACATGTAAGTTGTACTTTAGACTATCGACACACCGAGGATTCTACATTGTAATTCCGCAAAGAATTTATCTTGCGAAATATAGGAAGGTGAATGTATATCGAAAATGATTTACGTTTGTTAAGAAGCTTTCGTGTTGTTTTAATGAATTCTGTTAGCCAGTTACGTTTTGTTTTGTAGTTCTGAAACGTCATTTTATAAAATAATTCGTACATATACACGTATACATCTCCTTTATCCACTTGCTTGTTTCATTTATTCGAAAGATCCTGCAGCAATCGCACAAATTACTGTTTACTGTCAACTCTTAAACCCGTTTTTCGTTTTCCTTATTTTATGACCCAGTTTCAGAGTAGTGCACAATTTCGCCTAATGCAATATGTATAGTAAACATTGTACTCTCTCATACCATTCGAATCGCATCCCTTGCTCCTACGAAACTCCACTCTTCCCGTTTCATCATCGAGACAAATATTAGCGAGGGGTAATGTCTCGTGCACCACGTCTTACATGCTTCCACGTCGATAAAGCACTCGATTTTGCCAGCCACAATCGCACATCGGCTAATCCCTCATTCACCATGTCCGATTTTTCATCTTTCGTTCGCGACAAACGGCGCGATTCGTCCGAACGAGCGAACAGATGGTTGCGCTCACCCTCGATCTGCTCGCTCTCGCGCACTCGAGGACGGGCCGTGTCGTACCAACGCGCACCTGTTCCTCCACGGCGCGGAATGACGGAACGATGACGTAACGCCGCTGCGGTTCCGCTGCGGAAGAACGGAGTTGTCGCCCAGAAACGATGTCTCGTCACGATGCACTCTTGTCGTCGATAGTCAAGCGCGTCTCGAACATTCCGACGCGAGTACACACGTGAGCGTGAAATCGCGGGTCGATCGCGATCGTGGCGATCGATCGATCGCGGAAACGCGGGAAGAGAGCAACGGTGGACGAAGAGCAAGCGAGAAAGAGAGAGCGAGAAGAAAGCGAGAGAGAGAGGAAGATGGTGCGAGGGCGAAATGACGCGCGAATCCCTTGGACCAGCTGGCGCGACGTTGTTGCTGGTTCTCTCTCTCTCCGTGCTCTCTTTCGACCACGAACCAACGGCGACGTCCCGACGACGGTTGGGGGCGTCGCGACGGATTAAAGGCCGTGGAGCATAGGTGGCCGCCGCCGCCGCGCCGCGCCGCGCCGTGTCGCCATGCGCCGCGCCGCCGAGGCGGCCACTGGGAACTACTATCGTCAGGATCGATAGAAATAAGCTGACTCTCTCTGGCGCGCGCTGCAACCCCGCGTCGCAACCCTCTTTTCACCACCGCCTCGTAGCACCGTCACCACTACCGCCACCACCATCGCCGCCGCCGCCACCGCCACCGCCGCCGCCACCGCCGCCGCCGCCGCCGCCACCGCCGCTCTTTCGGAAAACTGGGGCAACCCGCTAAAACTTCAACCTTTTTCGCACGGCCACTCTCAGGGCCGATATCTAAACATATCAGCGAAAATCGTTGCTCGCGCATAAAAAATATAAAGAATGA